ACGTGCATATACAACCATGGATGCAGGCAATACATTAATCTCATTGCTTTTCGTTGATGTATCTTCATGATGATCGTTTGTACCAAATAATTTCAGCAAGCCTAAAAACTTTCATCAATCTCCTCTTTATCTTGACGAATTCCATTGAACTTATTTGTCGTCTGTTATGTGATCTCGTTCACTGCATTGTCTTGTTCATGCCCTTATTATCCACGCATTTCAGTAGGTTTGCTTCTAATTTTTACCGATCGTGTCGACATTAGGTTTCAAAAAAAAATCGTTTTTTTGGCTGACAGTAAGTTATCTGTTCATTTGGCGGCCATTTTTAATCAGTAATTTCAAAATTGCAACAAATTGTTTTCATTTTTTGTTATTATCGACTCTCCAAAACGTCTCTGCAATCCACACTGTGCACCGTTCTTGTTGTGTATCCCGATGAACTGCATAATTTATCTAAATGCCGATTGCGTTGTTGGATTTTTTGAATGCTTTTTCATTCGATCAGTTAGTTCTTTGTAAATCATCATACTGTAATAGTAATGATCAGATGTTAATTTAGATTTTTAACAATGAATTGATTTGATTTATTTGATTAATACGATTGATTGATGAAGAACACGTTTCGAAAAAAAGAACTGATTAATTTACTGTTTGATTGTTCAGAGTTCTTGGTTTGTGAGGTGAAACGACGATATTCGCTGTTCTGCAGTGAATGGAGTGGTCGTGCATCAGATAGTTTTAGCTAATTTTCGATAAGACACACAACGTTCATTCATTTATGCATCATTCATTCATTCATTTCTATCCTCCACACAATTCAGTTGCCGTTCACCGAACTACATTCGCTTTCTCGCCTCATCTCATCAATGCACTTTCGCTTTAACAAGTTTCAAGAACTCGGATTCACTCGATAGAATATCCTCGTCATTCTATCATCAGTATCAGTCCTCTACTTAACATCTCCATCCTTTACTTGTTCAATTCAATGGTACCATAGTTCTGCTACGACGTTTTCATGCTCGTCCAACTAAAGTCACTGACAACGATATATTTCGATCAGTTTTTACTCACTCTTTCCTACTAATTCACTTCTTCCATAAGCTAAAATCCATCCAACCGAATGAAAAATCGTCATATTTTTAATTAGTCTCTTTCTATACAAAAATGTCCGTGCTCTCGTCCATGTTTAAGCATTTATGTTGTGCGGATGCGTTTATCCATAAAGAATAACGATTTGTGGAACGTGTGCAATTGTGCAGATGTTAGCGGTGGTATGGGTAGCACTCGAGTCTGGATATGATATGCTAATGAGATGCATAAGTAGATGAATGCGTTGACGTTTATCCTCAAAATTTATCGATATTTTTCTCCGCCACTTCATTTGGTTTTCTCATTTTCATCCATGATTTGATGCTAAAATGTCATCGTATATACGGTATCATTCTTGTTTTGATTTCGTCTTCGATTATTCAGTCGTCACTTTGAATCAGGCACTTATATTTCAGCGCCTGCATTCGTATGTTTGTTCGCGGATTGTATTGCATTGTTGAGTGACCACAACTGATTGTTCATTCACTGACCATCAAAACAGTTTAAGTGCGATACTCTTTCTACTCTTAAGCAAACTTACCCTCATTTCGTTCATTCATATCACTAAATACTTGAAAATGCTCTCAACAGATCTCTTTTTACAATATTTGCCATAAAACGATGCTTTCGATCACAGTTCACGTTGTTTCATTACAATGTGTTCCAACCGTCCACTGTTATTCGTTTCTTTCCGTTTGTTACTTGTGAAAACTCTGTGCATCATGAAATGTAACTTCCGACCGAAATAACGCGCATTTTACTTCGCAGATCTGATTGGATGAAACCTTATAAACCTATATATGAGTACTTTTTCAATCGATGATATTCCGTTTTGAATGCAGACAAAAATAGATTCATCTTCAAATGGACGAATGAATATTGCCAATTCATTTGTCTTGTCTTTCTGATTGACGTTCACAATGAACGCTTGTTTTATTTGTTATCCATCATGCTTATATGTCATCACCGTGAACCTCCATAATGGGCAATATGAACACATAAATTC